CCTTCAAATTCTTCGAAATTTTCGTTTTTTGCCAATAACTTCCAAACCGTTGGATTTACGGGAAAATTGCATCAGACCTTTCTTGTAGAGGACGATGAGATCTACAATTTCCATGTAAAAATTATTCGCTAGCTTCAATAGTTTACGAGTAATTTGCAAAAAACTGTTTTTTAGTTTTTTGTCAATAACTCGTTAAATATTGATGCTAGCAAAATATTTTTACATGGAAATTGTAGATCTCGTCGTCCTCTACAAGAAAGGTTCTATGCAATTTTCCCGTAGGTTCAATGGTTTAGAGGTTATTGAGGAAAAACGAAATTTTTGTCCAAAAGTTCGCTGTTTCGACGCTGGGATGGTTGGATTTTGTCAACATCAATAAAATGCCAAATAATCCTACTTAGCTCGTTAAATACTGGAATTAGAAGAAAAATGCATAGAATTTTTCTTTGTAGAGGGTGTCAGTGCCTACAACTTCTGTATAAAAAGCTTTTCGCCAGCGTTAATAATTAATTCGGGATTCGATATGTAGACACAATATTTAATGAAATGAGTATCGTTAGATACGCAGGAGTAATTTTTCTCACTGTATTTTAATTGATATAACAGCAGCGAAGCAGGAAATTGGATTTGGAAACGGCTAAAGCGAATCTACATTTAGATACCGATATAATAAAGAAACGCACACCGGATGCAAGGCAGATGCCTTCGAACGGAGAGACGTTCTTCTCCAAGGAAGGAGGAAGGGTGAGAAGTAGAGGGGATACGTATGTACAGGCCCGAAGATTAATTATTATAAACCCCTGCCTTTTGCCTACAGTCATCAATTTATACTCCTCTACGGATCCCGATTCCAATCCCGATCCCGTGAGTCGCGCACGGAATAAAGGCTCATCCTCTCTAATTTATGCATGTCGAATCAATCTCTCCCTCTTTACCCCTTTTTGCACTCCCCTTCCCTCGCGTTCTCCCTCCACGTTGGATGTTCTCTGCGTTGCGTTTAGTTCACGGTCGCGATTCGATTGCTCCGGTTCGCGCACCTGGATCACCCGACCCTCCGCCACCCAGAGGACCAGCCACCCCGATAATGAGGGGGACGCGTTATCCTGTGCAAATATTTTCCTCGCAAGGGTGTTTGCACAGGCTCGGCCTCGCATACGCGAAAGGTTCGACGGGTCGGATCGTGAATGAATTTAATGCGCACCAGAAGTAATGAGTTCATTCGTGATCATCAAAGTGAAGATACGCGTAGCTACACCCGTCCTGGGTATGCAAACAGATTTAGTCCTCTCTTTATTGGATGATCCCATGATTCTTGTTATCTCGATGTACATCAGAAAAATCGGAAACGATCTCCTCATGCAATTCAAGATTACTGAACAACTATTCGTAGCGATACTCGCGCGAGACAAATTGTAACGCGACCCCATGCAGAGCGTAAGCGCAGAAACCGCGTAATCCGCCGTTTACCGAGAGTGCTCTCTCTCGCCGGTCGTTGAATTTATTCCCAAGCAGGGTCGATCGATCCACGAGCGTCATTCGTCTTGATCGTTCGTGGAAGGCACGGTCGGTTGAATGGAAAGGAGGCCGTCGAGGTCCACGAGATGCATTATTATCGTGCCACGGTATCCTCGTGCACCTACCTCGTCGCGCGAATGTCGCGGGTAGGTGGAACGCGAGTCGGTGAAAAGAGAGACGCGCTTAATATTCCGTGGGAGCGTTGTCCACGCGACCCGGGGAACCCACCCTGTATGCTCCCTCCCGTGCATTTCAATAAACCCGCCTCCGCCAGGGATACACGCCTGTTCGGCTCGCTTGACAGCTGCGTTCTCCACGCATTCCCATTACCTCGCCCGTTTCTTACTTTTGTTTACAATTGTTCACTCGGACGCAGATTTGTTTCTTAATTTTTGCTCGCAGGATTTACACTGTGGCGAATGATCATTTCTCACGGCTCGTAGAGATTACATAGCTCGTAGACGACGTTAGCATTTCAAAATTGCTGCAGAGAATTATTTAAAGACAAGCTTATCGCAAATCATCATTAAACTTCGTGGTCTTTGTGAAATGTCACGGTTCAAGAATATCGTAAAACGCTTTATCATTCCGTCGGTGTTATCTCGCTTAACAAGTTTTGATTTTAGAACGATTATAGAATATTCTTTGGAGAAGAGTCGTACCCATTTTCTGTTCAGAAAGAAAACTATCCACGTTGTTAACTCATTAACGTCGTTTAGCGTAATTCATTATAATTGTAATCCACCGTTAACCGTCGTTTAATAACCATCAAGAATGCCGTTTTTCCAATACGTATAATCGTCTGTCCTCTCAATTAATTACCAATAGAAGTTTACACCTGTTTTCCGTTTGCATTCAATTATCATTCGACAAGATTTTCATCGTTCTATAAATAACTGTCAAATGCCAATGCAATAAAGTACGTTAGCCAATTTTTTGATAGAACCAACGATTCAGCTGTATTGATCACGTAGAAGCAATCGGTTTCTCTATTCAACACAGCTTCCTCGATTGGTCCGTAACCTCGATCCATAATCCATCGGCTCGGCAGCCAGATCGTTGGTGTTAATAAGATTTATAAACGAGCAACAGAATGCCGCGATCCCTTTTTTCACCGATCTGTATCTCGATCTAGCGTCACCTCTGCTCGCTCACACGTCCCCGTCGTTCTCACTCTGGCTGCGGTATGCATACTAATTTTACAAATAAATCTATCTATGCGGCTCCGAGGTCGGAGGAAGGGTGAATAAATTTCCGCGCTCGGTTCTCTACGAAAAATGATCGACCTTCTCGCAAACACGAGAATTACCATCCCACGAAGCCACGTGATATTCCGATCTGTACTGTACGATTCTCCTCTGAAATCCAAATACAAAAATCGTTCTTTGAAGAGAAACCGCCTCGAGCGGTCTTCGAGTCGAAGGAAACAGGATATCGTGAGGATCGCTCCTCTCGCGTGCCTCGCTCGCATAACCCTGCCCGTGTATTAACTCCTGCTATTCCGAA